ATTTTACCTAGGGCCCGGCAGTTATCTATGCCATAGTTACCAACCATCACACATCGTGCGGGACAGTCCCGCGTTAAGTTTCAAAGTGATTTTAAATGAAACACGCATTTTGCAGAAGCACATGCTAGATCATAAGTGTGTCACGAATTTAGCACTTGCGTGATAACGAATTATCACAAATTCAGGGGAAAACATATTTGAAATTAGAAGAAATTGGTTTTATCAAAAATATAAAAACGGTGATACAGTAGCTTGAGTCATTAGAGAGCTTTCATTATCTCGTTCGAGAATCAATTCACAGACAAAGTTTCTCCTTTCTGACCAAAACAACCCAGCCAACCACGCACTTGTAGAATCTGTCGCGAGCAGTTTTGCGAGTTTATTGTTACAACCAACCGTTGATTATGTGACTGGAACCCGAACTTCCGCAGGGGTTACATAATAAGCAGTATACCGTATATACTCACGTATGTCCTATAAGGTGACCCATGGGACAACCCCGAGTTTAGGAGATTTTTGGTTGATATTTGTATGTCTGGCGTATAAGACGACTCGCTGTTTCATGGTCGGAATTCCTAATTTTGTGTGGTCCTGATACTGCATCGAACTGGATAAATGGAGCCAAATGCAAGGGTAATCTTCCAAATAATAACATTTTATGAGTTTTTAAATCTTTACCTCAAAATCGTATTTTTTCGTATTTAAAATTGCTTTCATTCATACAACATTTATTTGCTTCACTACAGTAGTAAGTTCGCGTGTTACGGACGATCCGCACATAAGACGAACATGATTATACAAATCTAAAATATGAATGTCGTGCGTATAAGACGACCCCCTTTTTTTCGATCGTAATTTGCTATTTTAAGCCACATCCTATTATAAGCGAGTATATACGATTTGTTTTAAAACCCTAGGTCACCTGAGCGTTAGTCATACAGTGGCGGATTCTAGGGGGAAATTTTCCATGGAGAGGACCCCACCCCCTTTCATTTAGGTGTTTTTGGAAACGTTTTGCACCCCCTCTTTCAAATCCTGGATCCGCCCAAACTGTGAACTTGGAAGCTGCAAATGCAGAAAGAATGGATTAAGATGTACCGAGTTGTGTGGTTGCCAGGGATGATGTTAGACAAGACCTTACAAGAAGTCTGTGCTCATCTATGTAAACATTAAACATATGTTTATGTTTATTTGCTTAGAAATAACATGTGAAACTATGAGAATGTGTATATGTAATAGAGATACAACATAATTATGTTATTTTCGTAGTCATTAATAGAGTTCACAGATGGTTGATCAATTGGTGCACACTTTATTCCATTAAATTTACTAACATACACCATATTGAGCAAAATAGACATTCCAAAGTGTAAAGTGGGTAATATATTACAGCCATCTTGGAACTAAAAATGATCACCATGTAATCATAATGAATATTGTATCAATATGCTTGTAAACTCCAAAAATATACACCATTTTACTGTAATCGAGCCCTAAAATTATTAAAGATATATGCATTGACACACTCATTTGAATGCGGCTTTCTTGGAATTCAAAGTGGCCATCATGCAATCATAATAGAAGTTATATCTATATAATAGGTTTTCTTAACGCCAATTACAATGACTTTGTCTCCCAAATCAAAAATCATAAGTGAGGTTGTATCCAAAATGTTTCTTGTGACCAATAATTACACTATATTTACTGCATGTAATAAAGGTGTTATAAAAGAATAAGCCTCAAAACCATGTATTTGGTGGCCATCTTTGAATTCAAAAGAGCCAACATTTATTCAGTCAGTATTTGTAATTGCATATATTTGTTTAATAAACCCGATAACATTCACCGTAATTGAGGCTCTACAAGTTCAGATATGCATTGTAATGCAATTTAATGGCAGCCATCTTGGAATTCAAAATGGCCACCATGCAATCGAAATGTAAGTTATACCAATGTTTGTTGACCCCAATAATATATACTTTGCCCCCAAAATCAGAACACTTTAGTACACATCTAGATGTGTATAAGAGACAGGGTATGGGCAGTGCAGTACTGGGGGCTCGTTTAATAGGTCTAATCTGGTCTAATCTAAAAATATAACTTTAAAAAATCCTATTTAAACTTTAAAAGGACCCTTCAATAA